GAGTACTAAACCTCTAAGAACTGATGAAATAGAATATCACCAACATTACCAAATACAGCTGAATCTTAACCACAGATTTTTTTTCCCCTTTAAAGATTCTAATCCTCCCCAGAACTGTGCCAAAACCAACCCTGGTATTTTCCACAAGTAATATCCTAATTTGCCAGGGATTTACTATTTTCACTTTCTGCCAAAAAAGTGCTTAAAAGTCTTTAAATAGATTATACATTCAAAACTATAAGATGTAAACTTGTACTAAATTCATTTTAGGAGAGCAATAGCTTAGCTTTCCAATATTCTATTACAAAACTTCATGCCCAAATCATTATTGAGATAAAAAGTACACAGCCATCATGTTACAAAGAGAATTTGCCCACAAAGCAGATGAAGAATAACTTTGATCACTTACATCCTCTACAGTGGATTCTTCTCCAAGGAATGAAATTTTGAAGTTTGTGCAAATAAGTTTTCCGAAAGTGCCACGATTTGATCCATCGTCTTGTACAAATTTCAAAACCATGTTCGCTTCACAAAGCACCAGCTCACCTAACAGAAGTTAAATTTACTTCTTACATTGCAATGAACTACTTAGAATCTCAAATCCCAAGTTGCTCAAATGCTATCACTATAAAAATAATATGAGCTATATATAATTAAAGGAATTTTGTTACTGTTATTGCTCTAAACTGGAGAAATAGTAGTACACTTTAAACTGCACTAACAGATCAATATTAAACACAGGGCACAGTCACCCTTAATATGAAAATAATCAAAAAATAATATTTTAAGGAAATTATATACAGTTCATCACTGCATTATAAAAAGGAACCATTATTCTGCCCTGGCATCCATTTAGCCAGTAGTCTCTGCTATTTTCATAGATATAAGGCAAACAGATTCGTTTTTCAAAGTAACACCATGCATTTTTTAAATCAAGGAGTTTTTAAGTTACACAAATTGAAAAGTATCCTAATAATAATACAATACTAATACAATTATTTGTATTTAGTTACTCATTCATTGACATACAGTATATTCCTTAGAACACAGTACATCTACTTAACTGCATCATGTAATGCACAACTACAGCATCCAATATTATGCAATATTGTTTATTTAGCATTACCTGGTAACAAGTGAGGTTCCACTTCTTTTTCTATGGGTTGCCTCACATACACTTCCTAGAAGAAAGGACATTGCATTAGTTCAGATGTTAAGCAAAAAGTTACATATTCAATAGACTGAAAACATGCTTTGAAGGCAAATTACTTCTGCTGTATTACATTGGCATGTAGAAAACATTCACCAGAGTTATTCAGTAACTTGAGACTAATCTTTTTGTGGAGAATTATAAGCATAGAGCACCAGCACAGATTACCATTACAAGAAAGCTATAATAATCTATTGTTGATATCTACTATTCCTTGCTCCCCTTTTTAGTATTAAATATTAAAAGAAGGAAAACAAAGTTCACAACCCAAACAAGAACTCAATAAAATTGCTAATAATCTTTAACTGGTGTTAAGAAAGCATTGGGAGGAATTATCATGCCCTAAATTACTCGACAAACACAGCACCTAGTATATAATACATTCTGTTCCTCAAACCTAATTAGCTACTAGCAAAACCTGGTTTTGATGGTGAAAAGGAACAGTGTAAATTAAGGATTTCTAATGTCTGAAAATGTGTCTGAAAGCTCCAAGTTTGATTGTTTTCTATTTTATATGATGGTTAATACTACCGGTAGGAAAGACCTCTGATTGCAGACTTGGGAGAAATCCTGGCAATCAAAATATTAAATTTCTATGTCATCAGACTAACAAATTATTGATTTGACTCCCTACAAATTAAGTGGGAAAAGCCAACAGAAGTAAACATATCTCTGTACTCTTTCTAGAGTCTCAACATCTTTTTAATATTGTGGTGATTGTTTGGCACTAAAATATGCAATGTGCTGAAATATGCAATGAACAAAAATATGCTTTTGTAGATAGATGTATGTTTTAAATTGAGAATAGCAACAAAGAAATTCAAATAACCAGAACTCTATCCCACTATAATATTAATACCATCAATGGAATTAAATTCCAACATCATTACCATGTAGTTTAATAAAAGGAAAACATAACATTTACTACTCTAATTGTTTGAATCTCCGTTTTTTAAAAAAAAAATAAGTCCAAAAAGTACATGCTGAATCTTCCATTTTTTCCTTTTCAATTATACCTGTTTTCTAAATGTCATATATTTTATCTACAGTGAAGCATTAAGCTTATAATAGCAACCTGAAGTCTGCATAGCCGAGAAAACAAATCAATACACCATCATTACATATTTCAGGTTAACTAGAAGTTGTTATATCAACCTAAGGCAATATGATCTAAATGAGAAAAGAAATATCATTTACAGAATTATCACCACTTACAATTTCACTGCCATTTATACTTATACTAATGATGCAATATCAGGAATTGGATTTATGCAATGAATAAATGTTTAAGGTCAATATGTAGCAGTCTCAGTATTATCTAATCTTATGTTCCTTTTTACCTTAGAGAAAGGAGCTAATTTTTTTCAAGATTGTTACATTTTGCATAAAAAATGTTTTGACAACTGTTAACAGGAAGCCAGCCAAATATAAACACAGTTAACCATGAATGTTGCATACCAGCAAACTATTTATTGTGAAAAAATAAAGGACACTTACTACAGAGCTAGTTCATAAGCAAAAAATAAACAAATACCACTTAGCCAAGACTCTAAATCTAAAATTAAATTGTTTTTCCCTAATAAGAATACTCGTTTTTGCTATATCTCATAGTTCCTTCAAGGGACTACAATGGGAGAATTAAGAAAATAATGCATATGGACTGCCCAAACACTTATCAAAAATGGCAAACTATGATAAATGCTAAAGTACTCATCATTTAGTCTTAAAAATTAGATAAAGTTGTCCTGAAATCCTGAAAATCTAGTGTTATTATTCATTTTACATCAGTTAAAGAAAGAACCTACAAACCTACAAAGCTATAAACCATCCCCAGTTGATTAACCCAGGAGTCTCCAACCTTTCCGGGTTTGCGGACCGGTATGGGGTGGGAGAGGGATGGTTCTGTGCAAGCAGGCACATGTGCTTGTGCAGCTCCATTTACACAAGGGGTGGGTGCATGTGCCCACCGCTCATGCAAGTAGAGCTTCCCGTGTAAGCGTCCATCGCTTGTGCAGCCTGGTTCTGAACAGGCTGCAGACCCCTAATTCAACCTAAGGCAGGGGTCCCCAATCCCTGGTCCGTGGACCGGTACCGGGCTGCGGCATGTCAACAACCGGTCCGCACAATCAAGCAAAGCCCCATCCGTGGGATGCAGGCAGCACACAAAACCGCACCTTTCTCCACGGAACCAGTCCCTGGTGCCCAAAAGGTTGGGGACCTCTGTACTAAGGGATAGGTTAAATTGAGTCCAACACTAGTTTCCAAGAATTTCACCAAACAAACAAAAGAACATCAGTTTAAATGTAGTTTCAGATTGCTTAACTGAAATGTGAGCTCAAGAATTATTGAATGCAATAATTCAAGTTATTTTTATTATTTCCCCAAGTCTCCATTAACTATGCTGACTGTGATTTCTTTTCTGTTAAGCAGTAAATTTGCTAAGTGATCTTAAGCCAGTCCTTCTCTCATTCTGACCTTCTCATTAAATTGCTGTTAAAAAAAAAAACTGAGAAAAACTGCATAGAAATTATTTGAAGTTTCACAATTTCATAGTATACTGGAGCAAACATAATCCTTTCATACCCCATTTTTTTTCCTCAAGCATAGTCTTGCTCACATTAATGAATATAATGTTGATGGTAAGAATTTAGACAATTTGAATATTACATTATAATATTTTATATGTGAAATTCAGATTGTTCAACTCATTCTATGTTTCTCTCTAGGAGGGCATGAATAATGAAACTAAAAAACAAGTATAACCAGTATGGAACTGGCCTGAAGGGCAAGTTCAAGTATCTTTCTTTATTAAGAAACAGTTACGGTACTATATAGACAAGCACAATAGCAGCAAAAATATTTTTGTAACTTTTTGGCTTCTTTTTTCCTTGATTTCCCCCCCCTTCCTAATCCCTCCATTTTTGTTACTTTGCATTTTATCTTTTTGAAATTTAATATTGCAAAGTAAATTTAAAAAAAAAAAAAGACAGAAAAGTAGAAGGCTAGCAGAGCATAATTGCCAGAAGACACGATGAAAACCCCTTAATTTCATAACACATAGACAGATTTAACCATAGTATCAACTAGAAATCTGTGAGAATCTAGACCAGTGTTTCTCAACCTTGACAACTTTAAGATGAGTGGACTTCAACTCCCAGCATTCATCAGCCAGCACACATGCTGGCTGGGGAATGCTGGGAATTGAAGTCCACTCATCTTAAAGTTGCCACGGTTGAAAAACAATGATCTAGACCAGGGGTAGGCAACCTTGGCTCTTTTATGACTCGTGGACTTCAACTCCCAGAATTCCTGAGCCAGCTATGCTGGCTCAGGAATTCTGGGAGTTGAAGTCCACGAGTCATAAAAGAGCCAAGGTTGCCTATCCCTGATCTAGACCAAGCTAAATCCCAAAAAAATGCTAGGGAAACACTAGAAACTTGGGACTCACAAGTCAGCATTAACAGGCACATAAATATTTGCATACCACTCAAAAGAGACAATTAAAAAAGCCAGAAAGGAAACAAAAAGATCAGAAAACCACCTGGCCAGCAATTATACACAAACAAGTAAAGATTAACACTTGGATTAACATCAGACAAACAAACAATGAACAGCCCAATCAAGTAACTACCAAGGAGAAAACGTCACCCCCACCAACACTCACAAGGCAACTTAGTGTATATAAAAATAGAAAGCAAACCCCATCTTCTAGAATTGAAGATATTACCTAGCTGGTTAATGTAACTGAACGAAAATAACCAAGCTCAGAGAACACCAAGGGTTCCTCAGTTTCATTAACATTGTCCAGCTTCAAATATAACTTGTTCCATTTGTTATATCTAGGATTTAAGTTTCCCAGAATCAGTTTAACGCTATTTCAACTGTCCACAACAGCAGGGCTTTCAACCTTTTCACCCATTGTACCACTTTTAGGATATGGCAACATCCAAGTACCCACCAGTCGCCTAGCAAGGTGTCAAAAACTTGATAAAAAAAAAAAAGGAAAAAAGTGATAAAGTACAGGTAGTCCTCGACTTACAACAGTTCACTTAGTGACTGTTCAAAGTTACAATGGCACTGAAAAAAGTGCCCCCCAAGCCACAGCCGAGCAAGACACCTGCCTGCCCGCCCGGCAGCGCTCTTCCTCCTGTCTGAGGTTTCTATTGTTGTGAGCATTTCTGTTGAGGATTGGCAGCGGAGGTGGGGTGGGGGGGATTGGTTTTTATTCCCCCCCCATCTGCTGGGTGGTTGCAGCAGGTGGCTTCACATGAGCCTGGGACACTGTGACTGTCATAAATATGAATCAGTTGCCAAGCATCTGAATGTAAATCACAAGACCCTGGAGATGCTGCAACATTCCAGCTGATTTGCGCTTCTTCTGGGCTCAGAAGAAGCACCAGGATCAGCGCCGAGCTCCAGCTGGATCCTGGTGCTTCCGCTGAGCCCTGACAGCCCTGCAGCTCCAGCCATCTCTCGCTCAGGCTTGTGCGGTGCTGCCACCGGTTCACCTCATTCCCCTCCCCTGCTACCACTTTTCTAGGATGGTCGCGTACCACCTGCCAGGTCCCAATGTACCACAGGTGGTACCCGTACCACTGGTTGAAAAGCCCTGCGCAACAGGACGCTCCCTGTATGTGCACCGTCTCAGTTATCACTAAGTTACTAACCATAAATCCTCCTAGCTACACCACTACTAATTCAAATCAGAACATTCTGAACACAGTTGCAATTTTCTCTTCAAGCATTAATCAAAAAGCTATAAAAGAAACCCATTTTGGGTTCCATTAAATTCAGGATTCTCTTCTTTCAATGGCTTCTTCCTTTATACCAAATAATACAATATCGACAGATACGTATCTTCCATGTGTATCCCATTATATTCCAGCTTCCTTCCTACTACAGTCAGCATCTTTAAGCTAACTAGAAGCCCATGGCCAAAATCCAGACAAAGCAATTCTATCTGTACTAATTGTTCCCACAAAAAATTTGCTAGTAATCCTGCAATTACTTTATTTCTAACCAAAGGATAGAAACCTGTAAGAAAGAGTCCACAAAAAAAGTGTCCATATTACAATGTACTCAACATAAAGTAGCCAACTTCATGTTGCCTGAATGTTGCATGTATGGTTAGCTTATAGTTCAGCGAGTCACATAAATCCAAAAAACTGACTTGAGTAAACTATGGTATATTTAATTATGGGAGTGTCATGTGAGCACCACCAATGTCATTATTTATATCCTGCATACATATGCTGACAATCTAGTTCTGTGACAAATTACTATGTTTCACCATTCGTTAGAAATATTGAGATGTACTTGTATTCTTTAAATACATGATGTTTCCAACATCCTTCATTTTTAGTACAACCAAGAATGAAAATAAAGGATTAAATAGATATCATATATAAACCGCAAACATCAAACGTAGAAAGATATATTTCCACTAATATTTCATTTTTTAAAATAAATGGCTTTTCATTTTAACAAATGCACTTGAAAGCAATAAGGTGGTCTCAAAGCTAACTACCATTTTTGTTAAATGATAGTTCTCAGTTGTAATGTTCATGCGATCTGCTAATTTACATATTAAATGGATATGACACATCTAGACTTGGATGCTGGTTCAAGCCACAGTTGAACTACAATTTATTACCTAGTTTTTAACCCAAAGTTTAAAACAAGTTTGCTTTTGTAATATGAGCTCCCTCTTTTGTCCAGATCAACTCTACAATATGGAACAGGAAGCTACTCAAAGATATCCATGAGGGAATGAGGTGTAAAAAAGCAGGTGTAACCTTGCAAGTGATAGCCTTTTTAAAAAAAACATATACTGTATATGCAAAAAGGAGTTTGCTTTAATCATGCCCACCATCTTGATGTTTTTAGGACAACCCCCCTCCCCAACAAGTGCTTATGAGAGGAAGTACGCCCCTTACAATCTTTTCAGGTCCTCCATATTCTCAGAGATACCCTATAGCAGTGGTGGCGAACCTATGGCACGCGTGCCAGAGGCGGCACTAGGAGCCCTCTCTGTGGGCACACATGCCGTTGCCCCAGCCTTGCCTCCCCCCACGACCCCTTCACCAGCAGCCCCCCTGGAGGAGAGTCACCCCCGAGCGTGGCCCATGCGGCTACGGACATGGCAGCCAGGCAGCGTAGTCAAGACTCTGCCCTTACACCCCACCACGCACAGTTGATGCTGCGGGGCGCAGGCAGAGGGCGTGGCTGCAATGGCACTGCTGGGCTGCCTGGGCAATCTGCGGCAGGCCCTGGAGGCAGTGAGTGGCCCTGCAGGCAGGCGGGGTGGGGGCGGGGCCAGTTTTGGGGCACTCGGTCTCTAAAAGGTTCGCCATCACTGCCCTACAGCTCATACATAGGAAGTGAAACAGGGACACAATGGATCTAAAGAAAAGTTTATTTTCACTTATCTCTGTCAGGCACTGCTTCCCTTGGGCTGCAGATCAGCACATTATGTCAACATGCCCAAAGCACTTTTTTTTTTTACAATACCCACATTTAATTGATGTACAACCAATTTGCTAAGCAATATGTAATACATTTGCTTTTCAAAACATTGGTGTTAATGGATGTTGTCATGATGCAACTATCTAAAAATGAAAATACTTTGGGACATATATCCCTTTTAGCTCTTCAGATAAATTTAAGTTGCAGTGCAGAAAAAAAAAAGAGTCTCCAAGGGGAGTAAGCTATCTCATACAGGTTTGCAGACTCCAATAGTACTTAGGACTCTCTATGCTGTTTTATCTAAAGTAAACTAGGACCACCAGATAACCAGAAGAAAATACTTAAGGTAGTATTTGCTTGCTTAAAGCAAATCTCAATGAACTTACTGAAGTGTGCTTTGGAGAATGCAGACACAGACCTTAGCACAACCGCAGTAATGATACAGGCTATTAAATGTGGCACAATTACTCTACAGCACTACAAACAGTTTCATTTTTAGTCTAACTGCAGTGAGTCTTATAGCACCTTAAATATTAACTAAGACATAAGCATGTTCAGTCTTACAGATGCAAAATGGAAGCATTTTAAGCTCCTTTTGGGAGGCCTTATGGAAATCTTATGCCCAGAAATAACTTCCCCCCAACTCCACAACTTCAAGTATTCTTTTATTAGTTCTGGACACCGCTTTTCACAATTTTATTCCCGAAGAGCCGAAAAATGAAGCAGTCTGAAGAAACCTTACTCCTTTCTCTGCAAACTCTCTTAACTCTGCTGCATCCCGACGACAAACCCCTTTAGCTTTTAAAATTGAACTTAAAACATGGGCTCGTCCCCATAATACACTGATTAACGTATATAAAAACCACATGCTTTTCCTGAGGAAGCAGGTGCTTCCAGAGGGCAATTTACGCTCAATTCACAAAGACGCACCCGGGAAGGGGAGGCAGTACAAGGATCCCGTTTCACACATGCAAATCCTCCCACGTTTTACCCTCCCCACCCCCGTTTCTTTTGCCCTTCTTACTAGCAAAAGGGAAAGACGGGAAACGGTACCTTTATCCTCTATTTTGGCAGCGCCAGAAGCCCCCATCCCCACGCCTTTTGACACACACACACACACACACACACACACAGAGAGAGAGAGAGAGAGAGTTTGATAAGCCCTTTCCTCCCGAGGGCTGATAAACCGAGATGCCAAGAGTAAAAATGCTCATTAGGGATCCTGCCCCCACTTCCTGCCCCCCCCCAAAGGCTCCCTTGAATAAGGAAGAGGGATCCCAGCCATCATTTCCTAGACTTAAGGGATGGGAGGCGGGCGTGGTTGCAACGGCGGCACCCTCGCCCACAAACAAGCCAAGTTTTTCCCCACAGGACGAGCCGCCGCCGCCGCCGCCCGAGAGGAAACCCGGGGAGCGAACCACCTTCGAGGAGGCCGCCGCTGCCGCCGCCGCCGCCTCGCGGGAACTCTTCGGAGCGCCCGCCGCCGCCGCCGCCGCCGCCCCCCCCCCCATGGCCTCACCTCGGGGCTGATGTAGGAGACGAAGGAGGGCTTGGCCGGCTTAGCCCCCGCGCCCACCCCGGCGCCCAGCATGGCTTTCCCCCACGAAGTCCCCCCCGCGGCGGCGCTGCTGCTGCTGCTGCTCCAGCCGGTGCCGGCGGGCAGGGGCGTCGGCAACGTCGTCGGCGGTGTCGGCAGCTCCTCCCAGGAGGACTCCACATCCTCCGCCTCCGCCAACGCCGCCCTGTTCCGTCTCAAGTAGTTGATCCCTCCCATCGCCGCGACCGGCCTCTGCCTGCTCTCCCGCGCGCCTCGCGGCGGCCCCTCCCCGATCCTCCCCATTTCTGGAGGAAGGGCCCCGGAGGCAGCGCCGCCATTGGGCCAGCGCGCGGTCAATCAAGGCGGCGGACCGCCCAACGGGGTGGGTGGAGGCCTTGAGCTCTGATCCTGGAGGGTTGGGAAGAGCGAGAAGAGAATCCAATCAGAAGCCTCAAGAACGAACTTTGATTGATAGTTGCTTTGTCCAATCAGTAAATCAAAAGCCTCTGCGGTTCCCTGATTGGCTCCTTCTCTTTTTTTTTTTCTGCTGGAAGTTCGGACTTTGAATTGATTGCCCGTGTATGGTCACGCTAATTACTATATATACTATATATATATCAGAGTAAAGTATACGCACAAATGAGGTTCCTTTTTTCACACACACTGCATTTTTTAAAATAAAATATTTTGAATTCTGCATGAATTCTAAGATTTATTATTTTTTTAACAAAATATTCTTAGGAGTCCGATAGAATTAAGGATGCTGAGAAACTCACACAACACACAACTATTATAGAAGAGAGATAACAAACACAGCTGGGTGACTCTGGACCATTGGGTCTCTCTCAGCCCCTCATCTTACAGGGTTATTGTGGGGGAAAATACAGGTAGTCCTCGACTTACAATAGTTCATTTAGTGACCGTTCAAAGTTACAACAGCACTGAATGTGACTTATGACCTTTTTTCACATTTATGACCATTACAGCAACCCTCCAGGATCAGAGCTTAAGGCCCCCAACCCTTTTGTCCTGCAACTCTGAGAGGAAACCAGAAAAAGCACCATTTTGTTCCTTTTATACAAGTGAAGCATTGGCAATTTATTTGTGTTTGTAAAATAGAAATAAAAAGGGCTAAAAACTGGAGCATGCATTGGAATGAGCAGCACTTCAGGGAATTGGTGTGGACAAACCATGCTGCACGGAAAAAAGGGTTCAAAGCATACTTGCTTCGTTAAGTTAAACCAGTGATGATCATCCCATTTATTGCTGACACATGGAAACCATTCTTATCTTTGGGACTGAACTACAATGAAAATTACTTCACTAAAGACCAACTGATTGTGTCCAGGGAGACTCACCAGAACCACTACAGTAAATATTTTTATTATTTTTTAATTTCATTTTTGGGTGCTGTTTTTGGTGCTTTTGTCTCAGTGTTATAAGTTTCTTCAGAATCTGAATGTCTATGTCATGGTTGTCCCAAAGGTGCTTTTCCAAAAGGCAACTGGACTTTCCTGTTGTTTTTTCCCTTGAAAACATTTCACTTTTCATCCAAGAAGCTTCTTCAGAATCTGCATAAAGCTGAGTTTTCAGAAACACTATGGCACTTTGGCCTATGGTAGGGTGTGAATTCAACCACTGTTGCCTCTCTCTTTACTTACCCCCTTAAAAATGCAATCTTGCAGCAAATCTTAGCTTTCTTGACCATGGAGGAAATACCCCAACAATTCTGACAGCCCAGATGGAATGATTCAGAACAGTTCTTACCAGCAGTTTTTTCATTGTTGCATAATAAACTCTAGAGCAGACATGTCAAACTCGTGACGTCACGCAACATATTGGAGCTTTTTCCCCATTGCCGGCAATGGGGTGAGGGCGGTTTCCCGGTGACACGTCTGGCCTGCAGTTTGACACCCCTGCTCTAGAGGGCTTGAAATAACTGATTCCTTGGCAGGGGTTCTTGAGTTCTTGTACAATTGATTTGCAAATAGCTCTGATGGTAATAGTAATTATAAAACTTAGTCTGAATAAGGGGTCACTGGTTCTGACCCCTAAAATAGTTGAAGTCATTCATCTGCAGAAAGCTTTCTCTTTTTAAAAATTCAGGAGTTTGGGGACTTGGAAAATGATTGCTTGAGGTTTCTACTCCAGTTAACTTATTTTCTGTCTCAGCTGTAGCTTAATAGAAATGCAGTATTTCCTGGAAGAAAGCAGTAATGCTATCTCAATGGCTTAAATATTAAATGACCCAGCAAGACCAATAAAACAGCTGCTTCTAGATAGCAGCCAGTTCACACCATTGTTAATCAAAGAAAATGTTTTCACTGATATGATTGTTAGATCCAAGTGAAAATTGTGTTCTAATTTCACTGGAATTTAGAAGCAATGTCCTTAACGTTGAATTATTGCTTGGTTAAGCAAGCATGCTAACATTTTTTTTTTGTTCTGTAGTAGAAATAAACAATTCCAGCACTGTTTGAACATTGCATAATGCACTATTGATGAAACCTGGTGCTTCCCAGATATTTTGGATTACAACTTGCATAATCACTGGCTATGCTGATTGGGACTTAAAAAATATTTAAAGTTTTAAAAGATTTAAGATCCGATCCACGTGTTGCCCTAGCCATGCAGGGATTTGTTTGCTTTTAATCTAGCACCATATGTGAACCAATTTCTTCAGCAATTAAACAAAGAGTAGATTTGTAAGACACCCATCTTGAATGTGTTGTATATTTCTTTTTAAAGCAGAGGACAAAAGTAACCAATTAAGTCCACATGTAATACTTGCACCACTATTTCCCAAATTCTAAAATGTATCTGAATTCTTTGAAGAAAACAAAGTCTCATCCAGGTTTTAAAAATTCGTATCTATGTATAATCACAGCTTAATCTTTTTTGTATTTACTGAGAAGCCCTACTTCATTCAGTGGTATGTATTCCCAAAGCTGTACAGAACTGCAATCTAATTTTTAGGCCTTCACATTCAAAACTTCAAGGCTAGTACAGCATATACATCACTGGACAGAGCAGTCTTCTACTGATATATGCATGGGAGGTTTTATTCCACACATCTTTTCAGTAAACAGCAATCTATTTCATTATAACCCAGCCAAAAAATACTAAATCCGTATAAACCCAGATATTCTGGTTTAATTTTGTTTTTGGAGGCAAGCTATCTGAATTTTTATACAGTTAGTCCTTAACTTATGACAATTTCAATTGCTAAGCAAGGTGATTTTTAAGTGAGTAGTTGCACCTGATTGTTAAGCAAATCGCTTGGGTAGGCGGTAAGTTTTCCCATTAGACTTCCCTTATCAGAAATCAGCTGGGAAGGTCACTATTTGTGATCACATGATCCTGGGATGTTGCTACTCTTGTGGATACATGTTGGTTGCTAAGCAGATTTTGATCATGTGACATGTTTCTAACCAACAGAAAAGAAGTCCAGTTGTCATGACTCAACTACCAGAATAAGCATAAATAAATGCTTTTCTTCTTAAGGAGCTTCTCACTTAAATTGAAGTGAGATTGGGAAAAAAAAGAATGCAAGAGAGAAAAGCTAACAAGGTTACTTGAAGTAAATTTATACAAACGCTTTACCAAGATTAAAAAATTAAACTGATATGAACCCCCCTCTTCTCCATCATCTTTAATTAACAAAATGAAACAAAGGAATAGTACAAAACCGGCAGGATTCTAATTAGCATTAGCACATTTTCCCCCTACTCTCTAGAACAGTGTTTCTCAACCTTGCCAATTTTAAGGCATGTGGACTTCAACTCCCAGAATTCCACAGCCAGCAATGCTGGCTGTGGAATTCTGGGAGTTGAAGTCCACATGCCTTAAAATTGGCACGGTTGAGAAACACTGCTCTAGAAAGCTGCTATTCATCTTTAACTCTTTACGTATACACCAGCAAATTGGTTATTTTGCTTTATGTTTGTTAAGAGATGCTGCACTAATGCTTGGTTCAGAAATTTCATTATCTGAAACTGCCTACTCTAAGGACAAACATACTGTAAAGGCAACCAGTACTTTCTTCACTGGAATGAATTTCATCTATGGAAAGTATTTGCACATGTATCTTGCTGATGGAAAGATTCCTCATTTTTCGACTCTTTAATTTTTTTTTTTTACTAGGGACAGAGAATTTTCCTCTTAAGAAACAGAAATTGAAGTTCCAGCCCCCCAAAAACCAGTTGCACATCACCAGACATATGCACATAATTTATTTTGACTTATGTGCATTATATTGTCTACATATTAAGATGTAAAATATAGTTATAATCAATATATTTTACTATTCAAGGAAGTTTGATGCCTTTTGTCCCCAGATATGTTTCTGAAGAACCAGTTAACGCTTATAGTATTTTAGATAATTTTTTCCAGATAGTTTCAGAAAAGTGAAATTCAACTCTCAAACTTTATGTGAGGGAGAAATTCATCGCAGCTGATGATTTTATTTATACTCTTATTAGAAGTGTATTTTGTCTTTCCTCCAAAAGCTCAAGGCAATGGACATGGCACATTCAAACATTTTGAAAAGTCAAGAATTTTGCAATCTGATTGGAATAGAAGGCTTAAGGTAGTTTATTGAAATTAGACCGATTCAAAATGTCATATTTCCAAGGGCAGTTTTAGGAATATTATGAACATTGCTAAACTGATATATGATAAATTAGTGTAACTAATAATAGGGGTATCTGTCCTGAGTGTACAATCAATAGTACATCACTTAGTACATTTTTAGTCTTTATTTGTGTATTCAACTGTAGTGTTGTAACAAATCACACCTGTGAACCAAAGCATACATCAACAGGCAGATGTAGACTGAATTACACCATTGCTATAATATTTAGCTGTTTGAAGGAGACGTAAGCATACATTATGGCCACAAATAATTTTCTGCTCTTTTTCCTTTATAGCATAGGCTTCAATTTATGTGAGATACTGTTATCTTCAATTTTAGGTTTAAATGTAAATTATTGTATAATTTGGTACAAAAACAGCAAAGGAACCATTTCACAGGCACTGATATGGTAAACAATTAT